TCACTGAAGTCTGCTAGATGAGCTCTTCCAAAGACATCCTCCATCCCCACTCCCAGATGAGAGGTCTTTGCTGTTCTGCCTTTTTTTTTTTTTGCAGATTAGTCCTTGCCCTGCAGCAACTCTAACCTCCACACATGCTAATGCCATCAGGCTGTGCAAGGCTGTTACGCTGTTCACATCAGAAAAATCCCCTCGAAGGAGCAGACTTTGACCGGTTCCTTTTCATTACTTTCCTGCCAGCCCCAGGCAGCATCTGAATTGCATATAAAACTCCCCTTATCCATTCACAGGAGCACGATAGATTTAAAACACAATAAATAATGTTGCTTAGCAGAAATAATTTATTTTGCCGATTGCCAAGACACATTTTATTTTTTGTCACTGTAAAAACTATTGGGCAAATGTTTCTTCTGTCTTTTACCACCACCTGGACCATGACTGCCAACCAGCTGCTTTGGGTGGGTTGATTAGAGGTTGGATCTAATTCCACCTCAGCTTCTGAAACAGATTTCAGTTGGCAACGGAAAAAAAATCTACAACCCTGCTCCCAGACAAGTCCTTAGAGTCAAGTGCCCCACAAGCATGGCTGGGCCCTGTACATTTAATTATATTGACATTGTGGTCAAAATTTGTTGAAAACAGATTGCCCGTTTCAAAACAGCTGATTTGCTACTCTGTTCCCTTTGATTTTCCAAGTTTCAGGTCCCAAGTTATAGCTGCACACAAGTTATAGGCTGTCTCTCTCTGTATCATCAGTATAGGTACTTGTTGAATTTTCTGCTGTCCTCACCCTTTTTTGTTGCAGTTTGACTTTTGCTAAGCTGCAGCTTTCAGGCTTTCTGTGTGGTTTCCCATCTGTTGTTAACTAAAACTTTCACAAGGATATGAAGCTCTTTAAATACTCAGTGTAAAAAGAGCCAAAGAAATAATTAACTCAAGAATTTTCTCAAGGTTGTAATATAAATGGCGTGGAAAGTTTGGAGAACTCTACAGTTCTAAAGCAAACCCTATAGCGTCTCATCTTTCCAGCTCAGTTCTTCCAGCGTGGATTAAAATCTAACTCTGAGCAAGATTTCAAATATAGGTGCTTCGTTTCAGGATCCAGACCCAGGCATGCAGGACCTTGCCAATGGGGCTTAGTCTCCATGTTCAGCTTGTGGTGAGGGTCTGCCGTATCTCCACACTAGCCAGATGCTTGTAGAGCACACCGTAAGTTCAAATGGCAGAAGCTATATATGATTGGGGTGATTGTCTCTGAGTTTTGGTACTTTTGTAACCTTTCTGCAATTATTACCATATGTCTGGGCACTGGGGCTGCCTGGTCCCTCTGATGTCTGAGTCAAGCTGTTCCGCCTTGGCGAAATCTTGTTGCAAAGTCCTTATTTTCCATGCTCTTGAATCCAGAGAGATGCACCTCGCTGGTGTGTTATATTGCCACACACACGGCAGTGCGCTGCTGGAGAAGCAGGCTGCTGCAGAAGCAGTGTGTGGCAGGGCTTGCTAACATGGATGGTGTTTCTTTGATCGCCATGGATAATGAGGTGTGATCTCTCCAAGGACTCAATGAATCTCTCTCTCTCTCACTAATCTTCCCTGTGACGAGATAAACAGTTCAAACTGTGGCATGCCCGTGGCATTGTTATGAAAATCAGTTCACACTACAATAGGACTGCTGATTGAGGAGCTGAACCCATAGAGTGTCCAGACCCCCTTGCCTAACTGATAGTACGGAGGCTTTTTCACCTGGATTTAGATGCCTGAATGTACTTAAAATTGAACCAAATCCCTCATGTATGGAGAAATTTGGTGAATAATGCATCAGCCCAGTGCTTTTTAAAAACATGATATTGTCTCCGATGTTGCATCTCTGCTTTCAGAGAGGCCTCCAAGTCACACGGAGGGACCTGCTGTCCAGCCAGTCAGGCACCTGCACAGACATGCTTCTGTCCTGAAGCTTCCTTTGTACTCCAGGGAGCTCAACGTTTTAGATCAGCCTACCCAAAGACCTGCAGTGTCAGTAGAGATAAGCAGAGGACTCCATGAAGCCCCCTGTATCACCCTCCGGGGGAGTCTTGTTTTCCGTACTGATCCACTGCTAGGAGGCCACTTGTGGTCTCGGGCATCCCATGACAACCCATAACACCAGCTACTGCCCTCTGTGATCCCAGCTCTGGTCCTGGATCCACGCTGCAGATAGGAAAGGAGATGGTTTGCAGGGAAACATAATCACTGTTGATTTGTTCTTTTCTAGATGTGGATGAGTGTGGCGCAATCTCTGGCGTGTGTGATGGTGGCGAGTGCACCAACACAGCAGGCAGCTACGTGTGCACATGTCCACGTGGTTTCATGACCAGCCCTGACGGATCACGCTGCATTGGTAAGATGCTAAATCGATCTCAGGACCACAGATACAGGGAGAGATGGAACTCTGAAACCCAGACCTGGTGATTTGCAAATCGCTATCTGGTGATCACCAGATTTGCAAATCAAAGGGCACATTGTTCCTGGAATAGCTGGAAAATGCTGTTTTCCACGTGCTGTCCTTGCATGTGCCATGGCTGACATGGTCCGTCCTGGTCACAGGTTTTGATGCTGTTGCAGATCAGGGCTTTCTCCATCTCCATAACTTGGACTGCAGGTGCCTCAGCGCCTGAAGTGTTTGACAGGGGGTTGCCGAGGACACTAGGAGGAGGACTGGGGTGGAAGGTGTCTGGCTGGGCTAGTGGTCTGTTTGAGGAAGGATCCATGTGCTCCCACTCACAGAACTGCACCAGCTAGCGGGAGAATCCCAGACGCTACCCCTTTTCTCCTGCATTAGATGTCAGCCGGGGAGAGACACCAGTGCTCCCCCTACAACTGAACTGCAGGCACAGTGTGTGGTTGTGGAGTGTCCAAGGCTTGCAAGCCTTCCTGGAGGTAGGAGGGACCCAGTGATGGGGAACATCCCACAACAGCACGGTCATCCGCTTGCTTTGCGGAGGTGAAGGGGGGAAAGGTTTACTCCAAGTGTTTGCATAAGCAATGCAAATAAACGGTGACTTTTATCATCTCCTCCTCCTTCCTGCTTAGACCACAGGTAACGGCTCATAAATCCCTACTGCCCCAAGCTAATAATCAGTAGGGCTGTGGACTCAATTGGCTTCACCTCACTGAACTCAACCTTTCAGGAGTGAGTTGCTTTGCACTGAGCTGGTTGTCTGGATCCCCTCTGTACCCAGTGGAAAGAGGTGCTTCCCAGGCGCAGCACAGGGCACTGAATACTTTTACAAGCATATACATTCCTGCACGCATGCTGAACCTGCAGGTTTACAAGGCTGTCGTGTAAGCTCTTGCACATTACCTTGTAGCTCACCGTCCTCCCACGGTATCCGATTTCTGGCAACAGAATGACTCCCAGGCTCGCGTGGAAGTCACAGTCTTGCAGTCCCCATCCTGCAGACTGCACGAAGGGCTTGGTGGGGCTGGTGTGTGGCGCTCCACCGGCTCTGACGTACCTGTTCACCCCTCTCTCAGTTTGGCTCAAGGTGTCTGTATTTCAAAGCTTCCCAGAACTGGCGTGAGTCCAGGCAAGCTTTCCCAGACTGACGAGCTGTCCTGCCTCCAGACTACAGAGCCTGGAGTGAATCTTGCATGTTTAACAGATCAAAATTCCTTTCCAAGCCTTGTAAATATTTGATGGTCCATTTCTCTTTCTAACAGACATCAGTTTCTGTGATAAATAGATCAGCTCTGTTTACTTGCTCTCAGCAGGGGCACTTACTTTAGTCAAAATGAATCCCGGGGTTTGTCTCGCTGTTCAGAAAGTTCATTCGCCCTTAGAAAGGCAAGGACGGAAGGATTGTAAAGAGGAACTGTTCCCGAAAAGGCAAAGATCATTGTCAGTGCAATGGAAGATGTCAGGTACATCTTCCTGTTGAAAGTCCTGGAAATTAATACAGAAAAAAATAATTTCCAAATTCTTTTATATCCACAGAACCTGGAGTAAAAATTAACCATGTTCTAGTCCTGGAAAGAAAAATGTTGTAAAGTATAACATACGAGTCACCTCGTTTGGGAATCTGATAGATTTTAATGAGAATGAAATTCTTTTCCTCCCTGTTTCCCAGACCCTGCCATAAGCCCGGAGGGGTGTGACGGCTGTCGGATGAGTCATATGGACATTTCCCCACTTTCCTTGAAACCAAGTGCTTCAAGAAACGAAAACTAAATAAAATTAGAAAGCCCAAATTTAAAAATAGTCCAAAGCTTAGTTAGCTGCAGTGGACTATGACTGCATCTGAACTCAATACATCATGCTCTAGCCATTTCCCTGAGCTAATATATGCCGCTAGTGTGCTGTCACATTTTGGGACAGACAATATTTTTTCTGGCAAAATGCACAGTTACTATTGGGGTGTTGTTGCCCCGGGATCCATATTTTGCAAACCCTGCTTCTGTCATTTGAGGGGGTTTTAGTGCTCGTTTTGAGAGTTTATGGTAGTTTAAGCCCACAATTTACGTCCTATGAAATAAATCAAATGAATAGTTTGTAAAATTGAAAATTAATAAAAAATGTGGCCACCCTTAAAGCATGAACAGCATCAGGAGAGAGCAGAAGAGATTGTCACGCTGCCACCTCTCAGATGTTTAGACTGGAAGTGACCGCAGTGTCTCATATATCATGAGGCACCAGCACTGGCTATGTGGTGACTTTATGGTGGCAGCCTTGATATATTCCCATCCCTTTCCCCTCCCTTTTTAGTAAAGTAAACACCTTTTTATTGCATTTGAATAATCTCCTGTAGTTTTTGCAGCTGAAACAGCAAGACACTGAGCTTGAGTTGATCCCAAATCTCATTAGCTGCTTTCACTGCCTTCCTCAGTAAAATGCAAACAGCAGCGTAGCTGGAGAAAGTCCGTCATAGTTTGAAATGAACATTTGTTGAATGATTCAACCACCTGTGCCTGACACAAAGAATCCAGTTCCACACATGTTCGTAACAGTTTCATTCATTTATGCTTGTGAAAGACAGGCTCGGTGTTTTGCAGGCAGCAGAAGGATCTGCTCCAGCAAGTTGTGAGGTTTTGGTTTTTTTTCTTTTCAGTACAATAGGCTGCTTTTCAAGAACAGCGTAAAAGAATAATTTTCAAATGAGAAAAATGGCCTTTGAGATGCATTTCCAGACATGCACATGGTGTTGCAAGTCAGCACTCCTGCACATCGCTCTCTTTGCTCTTTTTCCCTGATAGTGCAGCAAAGCTCTGAGAGATTTGTGTCTTATCTCTTCTTGGGCAACATTGGCAGATTTACTGCCTAAAGTTCCAGGTAGGGCCAGATCTTGCTTATTGTTGCAAAGTCCTGGACTCAGAGAGGGTTGTGAGGGTGTTACGGAGGACTTCACCTGCCTGGAGAACCCTTTTTGCCCACTTTGGCCATTATCCAGGAAAGGAAAGAGCACGAGGAAAAAGGTAATATGAGGAGATATTTATGAGGGCAAGAAATGACAAAAGGGAAGCGGTGTGAGGGTCACAGACTGAAAACAGATTGTTAAGGAGCTGGGGAGGGACCCTGAGCAGAGCCCCCTAACAGCTCCCAAGGCATCAAGGGAGCTGGTGCTGCCAAGCAGAGGTCTGCCCGGACAGCTGCAGGGAGCAGACGGCGTAGAAAGGCTCCATAGTCGCTCCATAGTGTGAACCTGTGCAGGAACCTGGACTGCAAACTGGGTCATTCAGTCCACATTTGTAAAACATTTCCCCCTAGAGAGAATCATTTTTTATCAGATCATTTCAGGGATGCATTTATACCTCAACCTTGTAACCGTTGAACTGGGAGGTGAATTTGGAGAAGAGTGAACAGCCAGGGAGGGAGTGAACTTATTATAGCACTCGCCGGCACAGAAACTGTCCTGCAATAACACCCAGAGCTTCCCTGTTTGCGCTGCAGCCCTCCTGCGGTGAGACAGCAGAAGCATTGGTGGCCAAGGTGTGCCATGAATATTGCAGTTTGGTGGGAGCTGTGCACCGAGGGATGCTTTGTGCCTTCGTTCTGGCATGACTCTTCACTGAGGCAGACACCACCATCTAATCTTACCCAGACAAGAATGAAATTGGTCAGTTTTCCAGAAACAGAGAACATATGACGGCATCGGTGGTCCAGACTGACTGTCCTCACCGCAGTATGAGGCTCCTTTTTGCACCCTTCTTCCTTGCAAACCGAGCACCATTGGACATCTTGGGTGGGAGACCTTTGGCTACACGCTGCTGTGTCGCAGCTCCCTCCTGAGCTAATAGCCTTCAGGTCCTTTGTAGGCAGAGCCAGCTGCCTTTTGCAACCACTGGTTTGTTTGGGTTTGGCCACTTGAGCTTCTCAGTTTCTGTACATGACAAGACACAAAGTGAGAGAAATACTCACCCTTTAAAGTTCTCTCCTGGGAAGCGGGACCAGTACTTTCTATTTCTCCACCTCTCCCTGCCCCTACCCCACCACCGAAGAAACAAACCAGGTTTTCATCAGGATGAAAATTGCAAAATCCCTTGCAGGTGCACAACAGATCTTAGACAACTCGTGCAGACTACGAAGAGAATGTTCACATTGAAAGGGAAGAGAGAGATTAGCCGTGCTGGATAGTCACTCAGAGGGTGCAGCTCCTGGTGTGGGGCTTCTCCTGGGCATCAGGACACACACACCAGGGCATCATGGCCCAGCCGGACGGGTGCAGACTTTGCCAGACCCCAGCAGGAAGGTCCGGCTTGGAGTTGCTCCTGTCCCACTATGATAAGGAAGCCAAACTCCATCTCCTGCTCTACCGCTCCTGGCTGGACCTTGTAAAGCATCCACAGCTTCTCTGAATCGAAGACCTCTGACAGACCTGTGGCTCTATCCCCCACCTCTGTGCGCTGTCTAATCTCATGTGGAATTTTACCTCCTTTCTGGCCTGCAGCATTATCTGATTTACTGAGGTTATTGTGCAAACCTGTTCCCTTAACAGCTGCAGAGGAAGACAGAACAAAACCACGACAGCTTTGTGCTCGTACCTCCAGCATGTGGGTGGTCCTGCAGGAGGTCACAGAGGGACTGCAGGGACCCACTGTTCTTTCCATCCACCCCTCTCTCTGCCCAAGGCAGCTCCAGATGAGGTTTCAATTAGTCCTGACCTTCATTTCTGAGAGAGATTATTACAAACTGCAGCAAAGACAGCTGAATTTAATAAACATTTGTCCAAATGAATAAGGGCTGGACCATTCCCTCCGTTACACAAACTGCCGTGACCTCCTTGCCTTGTCAAACTTGTCAGCACATGTCTGTCTGTGGGGAAGGAGGTTGCGTTCTCCAAATCACTCCTTGCCCATTAACTGGCTGGCTGTCTTCGTGTATCACAGCTTTTGGGACAGCAAGCGTCCTGCAGAAGAACAGAAGGAGCCGGGTGGGATCTGTCCTCTCTAATGCCCAAAGGGTTTATTCCAAACTACCACGCTCAGATCTAGAAGTTCATTTAAGCTCAGCCCTAAGCCCTCACTTAGCTAAACTCCCATCAAGGGTTTGAGGTGCAGTTTTTCCAAATGGCCCCGCTATCCTGCTTGTTCAGAGATCAGCTTCTTTCTGGAGTAAGTGTGGGCTACATGCTGATGCTAAGTAACATCAACCTGTCAACGTGCTGTGGAAACACAGCCCTCTTCTACACTCCAGCAGCTCCTGAAACCTGCAAAGACGTGGACGTTGCTCTTGCACTCTTGCCACTTGCCAGAGATCAAGGACTTGGGATGACCCAAACACCCATGTAGCTAGAACTTCCCTTCATTAGGATTAGGAGCTAATCTAGTGCTGCATTCAATCCCCTCACGCAAATTTCCCTTCTCCTAGTCTGTCTTTCTTTCTGCAAGTCTCTTTGGTGGATAAAGTTTCCTAAAAGGGAATAGTTCATGTTGAACTCAGTGCTGCAGAATGGCGGAAAGGATGTATCTGAGAAAAGACCTGCTGGTTTAGTCACCCTGGCTTTAAATGGGGTCACTGTCCTCTGCAAGTCACTGAGCTGTGATTAGAAAAGAAATGTAACCACAGCCCACAGATCAAACAGCTCCATGCAATTAATTTCAATTATATTTCAGGAAAGTGTCAGCCTGCTGGCTAATGTCAGTCTAGAGGCACAGATGACAAATCAGACTAGACTTTCCCCCTCATTAATTTACTTGAGAAACAAGGACGGGAGATGAATGAGTGGAAGATTCCAGGTTTTCCTGGAGGACTTGGTGCCAGATGGAGCCTGCTAGACATGTGAAAGACCCTCAGTCTCCTGGGCCTTGTCCAGAAGCCACACACACCAAACACCGGTGCCAGGCTTGGTGTCTGTGGCTTTGGCCAGGCTTGCGGACTTTGACCACCGTCCAGGGCTCGTTCTCCTTCCAGCTCAGTCCAGGCTGTGGGAACTAACCCATGACCTGAAACAGGCATCCACTGGGAATGGGAGTGATCAGGGTGGAGGGATGTGGAATTGGGAGCAGCTCCGTTTGTTTAGCGAGAGATGCTGGGACCACTGGGACCTGGCAGGGAATGCTTCCTCACGGGAAGCCTGGGACGCGGGACATTTGCCATTAAATCAGTTCTGGGAAGTAGAGGTAGGTCCTTGCCAAGCCTGAGGTGTGCAGGACCACAGTGGACGGCACTGGCTGTGGAAAGGTCCTTGCTTAGCACAGCACCGGGCATCACTGACTAACACTGGAAGGGTTGTACCTGGATCCCCAGCCTGACCAAAGTGGTGTAGGAGGTGGCTGACCACCTTGGTCTGCCAGCTCTGTCCTGCAACAAGTGAGAACAGGGGAAAGGACTGTT